AATATATATGTATATGGTTCTTGTAATATGTTTATTTATTAATTCTTAAAACACACTATTTTTTTCGCTTTTTATTTATATCTCTTGTTCCATTAATACTCTCGCATTATATTTTCTTTGTATATGCATCAATTACTTAAATAGTTAAAGAATAATTAAAGAATGGTTAAAATCTCGTCTTTGTGCATATTTGATATTAAATTTTTTTAAATATAGGTTTAAATATAAAGAGATTTATATAATTTTATTTCTCTTTCTATTTGTATTACTGTATAACTTACAGTTTTATTCAGTTTTATTCTCTAGATTCTTAATAGAAGATGAAATTTTCGTTTTATTGAGCCGGTCATTGAGATTGAGCGATCTGTTGCACTTTAAATATGTGAATAAATCACTGGATTTACGTAAACGTTGACGCGTTGCGCATATTCACGCCTGAATCAACGGACTCGTGAATCAATACTCGTAAAAAAAAAGAAAAACAACAAGCAATAATGATATGAGATATTAGAGATAATTATTTCCTGGTCGATCAATTCACACTATTCAGAAACAAAACTTACACTCTCTTTCTTTCTCTCGCGTTTTTTAAAACAACATAAATCACAGGAATCTCTCATACGTAAAGATTTGAACAATGTATTTTCTTGGATTTCTTTTTATTTTGAAAATTGTATTAGAAGTTCTAAAAATATGATGTAATATTACTGTGCATTGTTAGATAATCGAAACAAATCGGAGTATGTGAATTTTATTTATCATTTGAGGAAATTATTTTTTGTTATTCTGATTTAATTAGTATATTAAGCTTTAAAAATAATGGCGGAGGAAATATTGGATAAAAATTAAAAGGAAAAGCTCCAAGAGCAAGTTCAAATCTTTCTGTGATTAATTTTAACGAAATAAAAATATAATTATATACATATAAAATGTCCTAAGTTACATTATTTTTAATAAGTTAATCTTTCAATTATTATGTTTGACTAGCAAAGATTGATTCTTGTGTATAAAAGCAAAAATCGTGCTACCAAAGTTATTCAGCGATTTACACTTTGTAAGGAAATTTTCTCTGAGTATCGCATTTCCATTTCCGATGTTACAGATTAAGGGCCACTTCGATCAAACTCCGATTAATTTAATTAATTATTGATTAAATTACAGGGCGATCAAAAGCAGAATTTTAAAATTTATATTATATTATATATGAATATTTTATATCGTTAGAAATTGTTATATTGCTCGTCCTGTAAGTTAATCAACGATTGAAATTAATCGGAGTTTGGTGGAAGTGGTCCTATTCCATTAATGCGGCGCGCTAAAAAGGAATAACATCAGCTGACGAGTAAATTCCCAATGGCTCCAAAATCAACGAGATTAATAAATATCGAAAGGAGACATTCACTCACGTGTCACCGTCTCCATCCTTGGAATAGAACTGCCAGAGATCCTTGTTGATCGTCGAGCACTGATCGTCACCCTGCTGATGTTGCTGTCCACGTGCACTGGCCGCGTCCACGTGTGACAGCTCGAGGATCTCTGGCACGGGCTGAATCGGCCCGCGGCTCAGGGTGAGCCGGTCCAGGTCATCGCTGAGCTCGACGTCCACGATACCGCTGTCGGCAGTCCTGATTGACTCCTTCGCAATCGTTATCGTCGGCGACGAGGATGCGATCGCTATTTCCGGCATCATTGATGCGACTCGCTGTTCCTGCTGCCCCTCGTCCTGTAGAGCCTCCGTGGGGGTCTGTCGTGGCTGCAACCCCGCGTCGCGGATCTCGCCGCTGCAAAACTGCACGTTGCCGACCGACAGGAATCCAGAATCGTCGTCAGCTGTCGCCAATCCACTGTCATCTCGCTGCGTCCTATCGTCCTCTCGCAAATGCTCCTCCATCCGAGCGGTCTTGCTCGGAGAATACCACATTTTGTCGGTAGTTCGAGATGAAGGGAACGTCCTCCACCAAGTATTTCACACTCGATCGGATCACTCGGCGACCAACTGTCACCCAAGGTTCCAAACGAAATGATATCTCTGACTTTTCGGAGACGAATCGAATCCTCCTCTGGCGTTTTTCTGGCTCTACTTATGAGGTCCCTTTTTTTTTTCCCTACGTCCGTCGTCTCTCTGCTCTTTCGCTCCGTATCGTTGACATGTTTGTATAGAAACCGTTCTTCTTCTTCTCGAGGGATATCCGTCCCGTATGTCCTGGAACACGGTACTATCCAAATCTGTCTCATACGACGTTCACTGCATCACGGAAGAGATTCGCCTTCCAACTGATCTTTGTCGAGAATGGGAAAAAGAAGGCGGCCTGGTCGGGTTTGTCGTTGCGAGCGCTGGTGAACCTCATCGTCTCGCGTCTCGAAACAAACTGATCGGTAGCGAGCGTATATGCGTGAGATACGTCGTCGCGATCACGTGACCAATCTCGACATGCCCGTAGTACGCACAGGGTCGTTTTTCGAAGGTCGTATATTTATCACGAATTTATCACGAAAGAGATTGCAATATTTATACAATGACCTCAGAAAATTAAAATAAATTTTCGATATAGGAGCGACCTCACGAAATTTTTTGAAACTCATATATTTTATGTATTTTGAGGCGTAGAAACCGAAAAAAATGTCCCTCTTGTTTCACTCTTTTTTTTTTATATTAAAAATATAAAATATAAAATTATAAAAATTTAAAATTGTATTTAAAATAGGACAATGTGGGCATCCTTCTTTTGTTAATGTGTTTATGTATTTATTTTAAATATTAATAGTTTTGTGAAAGTGAAAAGTAAACGTGTGAGCGGAAAAGAGGCGGAGACCCTCTAAAAAATTCTAACCTAATCCAAACCTACTTCCACTTTTTAAATTAAAGTTTGGTTTGGGTTAGGTTAGAATTTTTTCGGGCGGGGATGCAGGGGGAGGGGCTCGGCCCCTCCTAAATACATTTACTTTTACTTTAATCGCTCACACGTTTACTTTTCACAAAACAAAATTTAAAATAAACACATAAACACATTAACAAAAGATGCTATCCCCACATCGTTCTATTTTATCAATATAAAAAAACAGAGGAACAAGGGCGAAAATTTTTTCAATGGATTCGGTTTCTATGCCTCAAAATACATAAAATATGTGAGTTTGAAAAAATTTCATGAGGTCGCCCCTATATTGAAGATTTACCGAAATTAATATAGATTTCATGATTACTATTTCTCGTTTAATCAACAGAATTCCATATAAATTATTTATTTTAACATTTTGTATATCGTTTTTCCGCGAAGGGTCTAATGAAACCTCTTATCGTAGAGTTAAATTTGTACAGGACTCATTGTCAGATCTAACAGCGTCTGCTAGTGCTCACTCTAATGCACATGCGCGTGATTTGCTCTGACAGCCTCGAGCAGTAGTTCCAAGCTACAAGATCGCGCAAAGTAGGGATGGGAAAAACCCATCGGTCTCGGGCAGGGTCGGAAGGTATCGCTCTGATGCTTTCTACTTCCGTAATTTCGAGTAGCAAAATATATTGCATTATTTTAGGAACGACCGAAGAGTCTACTAAATTCTCGCAGAAATTTTATACAATGTTTGAGATAAAATAAAAGAAATATATAAGAAACGATGCGATTATATTACGGCAGAAACTATATTATAAGAAAGTAGACATTTATTCTTATAAGATATCAAATTTGAAAATATAAGAGATATGCACGTATATAAAACACACCGGAATTTTTCTCGAGAGCGAAGATGTGCGTCTCTCTCTCTCTCTCTCTCTTTCTCACGAGATATCATCGTATCTCGTCATTCAAGCATAATTTCATACACGATTATTGCGTTTATATGTTGGAGAACATATTCAAACGAAAGCCTACACGTTTCTCCAATATTTAAATATCCCTTCTTCTACAGATCAAGCCGCTTCAAGAAGAAACAAATACACCAACTTCTTGGAATGTCATTATACGAGGTTCAAAATAACACGCGGTCATCGCTTCCTGTTCTATATATTTGCTCGCGTTTTACGTTTCCAAAAATTCCGTTACGTTTATTATCAGTATCTTTTAAGATCAATCCTGTTAAATAAAGGAAGAGAAATTTTTCATTCTTGTATAAAACCCACGCAATCGAGCTTCCGTATCTTAAAATCATCGTAATATCATGTATATAATATTTTTATTCTACATATGTTGTCAAATGGCTAAAATTTGACATTGCTTTGACATTCCCATCCTTGAAATAATTTCAGACTAAAATCTTGTTATTTTCCATGTCACTATTCCCTGCCCTACGAAAAATTATTTATCTTTTTTTATCTTGCTAATTTTTCTACAAATGTAAAAAGAAGAAAGTTCTCAAGACCAGAAAAAAAGATAGTCGAATAGAGGATAACATTCAAAGGAAGAGATACTTAATAAAGGAAAAGGAGACCAAAGAAAGCATTAGAGAGAAAGAGAAAGAGAGTTTGTATAACATGTCTTTTTTTATTAAAAATAATTATAGACTATATATATATACATATATATACGAATATAACAATAATGATATCGTCTCATCGTTGCTGTTATATATATACCGTGACAATAACGTATATTCATGACTCTAACGGAAGATGTCTATGTACGAAGAGGTGAAAAAGATTAACTGTATCGATGGAAGCAATTACATACCACTATAATGAACATTGATCCGATTAACGTTCATCATCGATACGATGAATTATCGTATCGTTTTGGACCTTTTTTCGATACTTCTAATTATAAATATATTGTACAAGTCGCACATAAGAATGTGGATTTATTTCTCTCCGACTTAAAATGTATGTTGCCGACTACGTGTCAACTTTGCGTCTATTCTGTGAGATCTACGATCTCTGTAACAAGGATTTTTCTTTAAGAATATTCGCATATGTCGGACGCGGTTTGTGACACGTACTCCTCTATTTACAATCGTAAAATATTGTATTGGCTAAGCGCAAATATTCCATTCTCGCTTCGTTATTAACTGATACACATCTCGAGACCGACACACCTATTGTTCACAGATTCTACGGCCAATATCGTAAGAACACTTGCGTTAAAATATACATTGTCCTTTATATTTTATTTGTACAGCTTTTCTTGGAACACTCTGTACAACACTGGGAACACTGCTGCATGCCTATTGGCTTGCGAAGGATTACTGTAAGGGGAAAAGCGAACGACCGCTGGGACAGCTCGCGCTTACGTATTGTCGCTTCGTTCGTAATCGGATATTCGTTAGTGGTCGCGTATAAGTTCGTTTCTGAGATCTTCGATTTCGAACGTTACTCGTTCATCCCTCAACTTGCATATATTGCTGCCGATATCGACTTAAAAAGCGTACATAGTCTATAGTAGTAATACTTGTCGACTCAAGACATTTCTATGATCACGCATTATATACGTTATGTAACACACATTGAAGCTAATTTCGTTCCACTTGCTATTTTTTTAACTGACAATCCTTCTACTTTTCGTTATAAATCTTAATCCATCCAGCAGATTAAGACGTTATAGGGATGCGCTTCAAACATAGACACTGAGTTTATTTGTGCATTATATGCATTAAAAGCATTACCATGTCAAATTTTTATTTCCTTATCTATCAATTTTTATTTTAATTATTTGTCTTAACGTTTTTAATATTTAAGATGACGTCGTCCAGCGCGTCAAAACTTAAGCTACAAATTCCAGATGGCAATTATTCACTTAAATTCGTCCGTTAATTTCGTGAACTCATTGAAACTCAAGATACAACTTTATGCATGCTAATTTATATGTAAATGTGGAAGATAGAGAGACGCGACGTACTTTTATAATCTTTCTATGTAACAAATTTTATTCACTGTAATTGTGTCCATCTTAATTCGACTAATAAACTAAAATGATTTCGCAGACGCGATTCGAGACATCTTGGTGCGTATGCGCAGCATGCACTCTTTCTATCTTCTTTTCATCCGACTTTGTGCAGCACCCAAAACGTTCAATGAATTAATGAATAGATTACTGACCGATGAATAGTTTAGACTGTCACTCCGACCGTGTTTTGCGTCTTGACGATCGCGGGCAAATAATCCGCCGTCCACAATGACCTTTCCGTTTCCTCGTCCTCGCTGCTCTCGGAGTCCGATTCTGGCAGCGGTTCCGGTGCCGCGCCGTATCGTACCAGCTTCCTGCGAGCCTCCTTGGCGAACGCACTGTGAATGTCCAGGGTCAACTGATAGGCAGTCGTGCCGCGATACGTTCGCTCGTCCAGACACAACGTTCGTTGACACTCTGGCAGTAGGAGCTCAAACACCGGCCGACATTCGCGCTCCACCGCGAGATGAAGGGCCGTGTATCCCGCCAGACCCTCCTTCGCCTTGAGATCGGCGCCTAGACGCAACAGAAGTCGCACCAGATCCACGTGTCCGTTTGCGGCAGCCACGTGCAAGCACATCTCACCTGAAATCAATAAAAAGATCGTATCGATAAGTAACTGAAGATCTAGTGTATTTCCATTATAATATTCGAGATTGGAAAATCCCTACAAATGATATCTGATCGAATCAACTCCAGATTGATAAAAGAATCTAATGTCTAACATGATAGAGAAATATTTATCTGTCTTACATCACAACGAGATATGGCATTGACAAATATCGGACGAACAACATTTGGATCTAATTTTGTCGAATTTTCCGTCATCTCTCCTATGATGCGGACCAAGAGAAGTACATCGGAATGACCGAGTCACATGTCTCGACTCGTCGTGAGATATAGATAGAACTAGGAAGACATGATGAATCATATTGTCGTATCGGAGGTTTGGCCGGAGTCCCGCGATCCAAACTAGGCTCGCGCCCGATCAAAGTAACTGCTAAAATTAAGCGCGCCGCGTTACCAGTCGCATTGGCGGAATTTAACGACATAGCGTCTCGTGATTACATGACATACATCATACCGCGTCCATATAGCTTCACCTCCGACAAAGACACAAATAGCTTCCAATTGCAGATCGTTACGAGTACATATTTATAAACATAGTGGCGTACGAGGTATAAGTGTCGCTGCTTTATCGCATAAGAATCGTACACATTGTCATTGAAAGAGTCACTCGGCCTAATTAGAATTTCAGACAGTTTAGACGATACTTGACGTAACGTGACGTAAAAGAAATCGTTAAATCTTTTCGTGTAATACTTAAAATAGAGAATACGTGACTCGAGATTGCTGCAAGGGTTGATTGGGACTAGGCACGAAAGAGAATCGATTTTTTTTTCAATAGTATAAAAGTTCGAGGTAAGTCACTGGCGTCGACGCCGCTGTGGGGTTTCCCGACCGACCGAAAATATCACGTAGCACGCACAAATAGTCCTATAGGTATTTTTAAGTATCAAAAACATCTGGTCTCGCGCTCTCCTTGACGTCGCGTCGTATAATGTAACGCGTGCGCACATTACATACACGCACACACACATACAATATACAAATATAAGATAGTGGCGAATTCCATCGTATACGCGAAACATTCTTCGTCGCTCTTGTTTTGTTAAGCATACTTTACACGATCCTCTTTTTTTGTAAAATTAGACAATATATAAGAAATATATAAAAAATACAGAAATATAACGCTCATTTTTCGATAAAAAGTAATTTTGCATGTCATATTTTCATCGATAAATTTAATTGCAAAATGAAATCGCTGCTGCGGAAATAACAACTTTACTTTATCTAATTTCAGTTGGCTTGTAGATCGTTATCGCGGAATAATATTCGTCATTTATTTTCCACCGCTCATTTTATCAATTATCGCTTGTTTTGTACAAAATGTGGTTATTCAATCTTAAAAAACTAGAAATATATTTTCTTAGGAAATAAATGCTCTGAATTTGCGATTATTCCGAATGAATCATGCATTTCTCGATTGTGGAAACGGTACCGAGAACTTATTTTATTACTCATCAATCGATTTAGTGGTAAATCTAGACGAATAGGTGCGAATTAATCTAACGTATAGTCTTTTCGGCAAGTTCACAATTATTCAGTTAATCGCTCACAGTCCAGAATGATCGATTACGTTGCGTTTCGCACGTGCGTGAATATGTATGTATGTCCATGCGTTATCCGCGTCGTGCGAGCTTGCGGCGAAATAAAATGCCGATGACGCTATATATGGGATTTCCAAGTTTTTTAAAAAGTCAGCCAATATTTCGTGACGGATGATCATAGCTAGCTGGAACAATTTTCTCTTCTTTTATCTTCTATAACTTCCTTCTTTCTCTTACACTCACGCTTACACATACATAGAAGACAGATTTATAGTGCTTCCAGATCTCCTTAATTTTAATTTTTCTGCAAAATTTATATATACATTACAAATAATTGTAAATATTAATGGCAATCATTATATTAACACAGATAATAATAAATACATATTTATAAATAATATACTATTTCAGAAATTAACAACAAAATTTTATTAAGAGATTTAATTCAAGAAACAATTTTTTCTGTCAAATTTTATAGGAAATTTAATAGATTCGCGTGCGAGATCACAAATTTCAAAAATTAAAAAGGCATAAAGAAAATGTAAAGTTTTAGAGACAACTTGTGTCTTTATACTATGATATATTCGTTTTCACATTTTCAATTTTTTTTTCAAAAATTTTTACTTATGTTTTGTGACATATTAGCACAATGACTAGTCATTCTGACAAATCCCGTAAAGTCGCGGTTTTATCGCAAAACCTTTCGCCGAGGTCAATTGTTATGCTTTATCTGGACGCAAATTTTCGTCATAAAAGCAGGAATTCCCCGGGTTGAATACGAGTACGTGTATATATTTCTCGCCGTTATCGATTCGTGATCGTAAATGACAGTGTTATTATTGCTGTAAATCGGAGATCGAGAACATGCATATATTAAAAATATATCGAAAGAACATTGAACAAATTTCATCACGTGTAAAATTTGATGTTTCAGAAAAATGACCAGTCACCAAATATACAAGAACATTACGGATAAGGCAGCCGTATATTCATTATTGAGATATACATAATCCACAATAGAATGATCGTGAAACTTTTTAAATTCAAATTATCTTCATCAAATTATCATTTTTTTTTTTTTTTTTTTTTTTTTTTTGTTAAAGGAATATTTTCGAGATATTTCTGAGATGATGGAACTTTCAAACGTAAGCGCGAAGAACTTGTGACACTCGATGAAATCACAATAAATGCGTATAATTCTACGTGTTCATGGTCATAATATCATCGTCCGCGAGCCTTATATATGACTTATTCTATGCGATAAAAGCAGTTAAGATTTTCCACTGCCACCTCGGCCTTCTTTGTCTCCACCGTCACGGACGTGGATCATCTTTCCTTGCATCATAACGGTGATTAGCGGTCATTATATTACACGCTTCCAAATAATTATCATAATTGCAGGAAAAGTTGCAAGCGTGATTAAAATATTTAAAAAACAAGAAACAAGACAAATATGTCCTCGTTACACTTATTTAATATGCAAGAATGCCGTTCTCTCCATTCTAATAATTTTTCCTCAATTATTCGAATAATATTTTCTCACTGCGTTTTAGTCCTCTTATTTATTTTTTGTCGCAAATTAACATTATTTTTTCATAAAAAAAAAATCAATCAATAGTTATTGAGTATATTTACCGTTGTAGTTACGTTGCTCCAAATTTTGTGGTAAGGCGGGTACTTGCTGTCCAAGCGTCAGCTTATTCCTCTCCATCGGGTACAATGAATCCGTGAGAGCTTTAGCGCAAGCGAGATCTCCGCTCGCACAAGCCAGGTGTAGGGCTGTGTTTCCGCGGAAATTCCTCAGAGATGGATCCGCGCCTGCTAGGATTAGATGCCTGACGATCAGTGGTTGATGTGTCAACACTGCCAAATGTAGGGGCGATTGCCAGTCGTCGTTCATAGTGTCCAATAGGCACGGGTCAGGCGCCATTCTTATTAAACAGAGTGCAGCTTCCACAAAGCCTTGCACGATCGCGATATGCAATTGCCTGCAATTATAAATATATTATATAAGAATAAATCAAGTCTTGGGGGGGGGGAGGGAGTCTTGTAATATCATAAACTGGTCTTATTTATATTAGCATGCTTATTAATCCTTAACACTGGAGCATATTATTAATTAATTGATCTTCATAAAATTAATTATTTGATGATTCAATTAATCTCTCGATTCTATCACCATGTAATGTATTTAAAATATATTGTCTTATTTTCTTTCATTGTTGTATAAGTGTGAGACATCTCTCTTGTGGGATTCCTGTGTGCGTCACTCTACAATTTATCGTTGTTGTTGTTCATCTGAATTCTCGAAAGATGATACTTATCAAAGAATGAAACTCGTTTCATTGAATCGGTCAACGAGCTCAAGTCAAGTACTAAACACACGTCAAAGGTATACATATATAGGCCGTTCTACGCGAATGCCAATGTTGACGTTATGCATAATGACATTCCCGTTCAAATCAATGCACTCATACTACGCTCATTGAAAAAGAAAAAACCACTTGCAATAAGCCAAGATTAGAGATGACTATTTGCCAGATTAGATTCGACGTGGCGAAATCCGATTATACGGTGAATTTAAATATATATTATAATACAGAAACAAAACTTATGGTCTCTCTTTCTCTTTCATTACTTCTCAAGATTTATGGTAAAAAGTGCTCGCACGCGATTTGGATGTAAAGAATGCGAACTGCGTTCCTTTATATTTTTTATTCAATAAAATTATCCGAATTGTTTTGTTATTTCAAATTATGTTGAGTGATGAAACTTTTCAGCGTTGTTTTATATTCGATGAAAGCTACTATTTTCTTACGATAAAGTGATTATTACAATTTAAGAAAAAATTCAAACGCAAATATGAAGAAGATGATGTAAACATATCGACGGAAAGTGAGATAAATGTCTCTATTAACTTTATAAAAATGTAATTGAGATTTCTAGAAACTTCTCAAGAATTTATCTATGTGATTCTTGGAAACTTTTATTCGCAGGCTTGATCAAATAAATAGATGGAATTCATTATTACTCGAAAATTACTTGCTGCTTACTTTATTACTACTATTTGCTTTTAATCATTTCCCGTAAGTATTTATTAGGTTGTGCATAATTTATTAGTATCTGCATAATATGCATAATACACATTCGCCCCTGGACTGTTGACCGCGTTAGAGACCCTGGACCGGCAGATCAGGTGACACGTATCTGACCGCAATAAGCCGTTAACACGGTTAGAAGTTAACGGATCGATGACTTGTAAGATGTAGGCGATAAACGCAAGATGAAGAATCGTGTCGATAAATCGTGTCATAATAGTCGAAACATTTCGTGCAGTGCAAGAACTCGCGTTAAGCAATCTATCGCGATATTTCCTAAAAATATATTCTATAAGAAAAGTGCTGTTAGATTTTTCATTGCGGCTTTAGTTCCTGAGGTATTTTAATCGAAAGTTTATTAGACGTAAAACTCCGGATAAGCTACTTGGTAGCGCTACTGCCCCTGTACATAGGTAAAATCGTTGACAAGCTGGAAAGAATTTTTTTATATACTTGGCGTCGCGACGCTACCGCATCGCTTGATAGCGCTATTATTATTAATATGAAATCAATCTTGATTTGACATAAAAGCCTGTTCAAGTGATTCGTTCAACTTTAACATAAGCACAGAGGAGATGCAGCAAGTTAGTTATACCCCGATGTGTTAAAGGGGAATAATAGTAGTTGACATACATCATCCACGTGTCTACTCCAGCGAGTTAAAGGATTAACAAACATCGTCGATGAAATAAGAAACATTCACTAACGTGTCACCATCGTCGTCCTGCGTATAGTAGAGCTGCCAGGGTTCCTCGTTGCTCGTCTCCCTCTCATCGCTGTCCCGCTGGTGTTGCTCCAACAGCGATGCTTCATCGTGTTGCTGTTCGCTGCTGTCGTCCGGTTGCGTAAGGTTCGCGGTCACGGGTGACAGCTCGGGACTGGCCGACTCGGCCTGAATGAATTTGCCGTTCTTGGAGGCGAGCGCATTCAGGCTGACCTGCTTGAGGCTCAGCTGGCTCAGAGTGTCGGTGAGGTCGAGGTCCACGCCGCTGTCGATCGCCCTCATTGGCTCCTCCGCGATCGTCGTCGTCGATGATGTTGATGATGATGCGGTCGTCGTCACGACCGCTGGCGCGGGAGTCGGCGCCGCTCGCTGCTCCCCCTCCCCCTCCTCGCCGGGTTGCCCCCCCTGTTGCTGTAACCCCGAGTCGCGAATCTCGCCGCTGAACTGTAGATTGCCGCTCGACAGGAATCCGGAATCCACGTTGCCCTCCTCGTCGTCGTGGTCGTCGGAACGCCACCGCTTCTTCTCGTCCGCTGTAACACGTTCCTCCATCTGGGTGCTTCTGCCCTCGTGGGTGGGACGCCACATTTTCGGAGGACTCGAAAACGATACCGCTTATAAATTTTTTTAGAGGGAGAGAGAGCTCGCGCGAGAAATCGTCTACTGGACTCTCTTCCCCTTCTCTTATTTCACCTGGATATTTGCCCTAGATTGGCGACACAGTCTAATCGCGAAATAAGAAAGCTGCGATACCGCGACTTTCAATCGCTCGAATATAGACCTCAGCTTTTCGCGGCTTTTTCGTTTGTTTTTTTTTTTATCGCGCGTGATATCACCCCTCGATCGATCCTTACTCGACGTCCCCGACGTTCTCTTCCGCGTATATTCGGCCGCCCGAGAGAGAGAGAGAGAGAGATATATATATATATCCCCTTCTCCTCGAAACAGCTGTGCTCGCACTTTGGTCTTGTCCGTCGTCTATCTCCGTCCACTTTCGCTCCGCATCGCTCGCGTGTTGTCGACTAGGCTCTCTTCGATGTAATCTCCGTTTCGTGCACTACCTACTGGAGATTCCACGTTGATCTTCAGTCGCCAACAGACGGGAGAAAGCTCTCGCTCCGTTATCGTATCGTACACGAGCAATTTTCCTGACCGCGCACGAATTGTCAACGCACGCTACCTATCGTTCCGTATCTCGGAACATCTCAGAACGAACTGATGGACTGTAGAGAGAGCGACTCAATGTTGTCAGACAGACGTTTCTCGCGCATGCGCGACAAGCGACGTGCAGTGACGTATACGATTCCGATAAAAGTGAACAATTTTTCCGGATAATAATAAACGGCGAGAAATGGTTGTATCTTTTTTTTCGCGTTCTGTCACATTGCGTCATAATGTTTATCGATCTTTTTTAAAGCTCTTTAGTAATCACGATAATTAAATAATTTCCAACAATCGTCGGAAAAGAGAGCGGATCGAACGACACCCTCTTTTTCTACTCAACTAGATACAGACCTGGGATCGCGCTCGCATGCGATGCGCATGCGCGACAAAGATGGCTATTTAACAATATCTCTGGCGGTATAATTCCTAAGGCAGAGAGCGGAGTAGGGGCGGAAAAACCCATCAACCTCGGGCAGGGCCAGCTGTATGGCGTACAACCGAGACACGATGCGATTCTCATTTTACAGATAAAAACCGTTTTGATAAAATGTGTCGTTTTTTTTGTATCAGACGTTATGTCAATTTCGCTTCGGAAATTTTAGTTTCATATGGAAGGAGGCTCTCTATAAAATACTTTGATATCTAATCGAATTTTATTGTAATGATATTAATGTATGTAATAAAATCGCAGTGTATTAATAATGATATCTTTTTTATCGTAATGAATATATTTGCTTCAAAGAAGAAGAGAAGCGGTTAAATCCCGCGATTGACTTTTATTGCTGTTTATAAGAACCGCCTCCATACAATCGCGGATATTGCCAAACACACTCAAGCGTTTAAAGGAAATATCCGTTGAATATCTGTGCTTTGTTGTTGCATGAATAGGTTTTCACCACGGATGAATGAACTGCGAAGGAAAACCCAGCATAACGGAACACGTGTTTATTTAGAAATCCGCAGGAAACGCGAGGGTTTTCCTCTTGACCAATAATTTCGAATTAAATGTAATTTACGTTATTCTCTGTCAATAGAAAGCTCATTTAAAAGCACACTGGAAAAACCGATTAAAAAAGAAACAATTTTATATACATAGCGCTATTGAAAAAGTGTCTCTAAATAAAGTTCTCAAAAGCAATCTTAAAAAAGAAGAAAGAGAGAGAGAGAGAATTCTTATAATATTCAATATAATATAAGAAGATGAAAATCGTGCAAATTAGAAACTCACACATTTTGGTTCCTTATCATTTTATTTCGCTCACAAAGCTCGTCCTTAGAGCAAGTGGATTTTTCAATTTTGGCTTCCTCATAGAGAGTAAGCTTTGTCAACAAAATAAAAATATTATTCATGTAAAAAAATTTAGCCCGATATCTCAAAATTTGCGGAAGTTAGAGCGTGCACAGATATTTTTCAAAAAATTCAACATTTCATAAAAAATGAACCTGGCGTTCACCGATTCTCGCCAAATTCAATACCAACCACCTTTCAATGATACTCTATTTATTTAGAAAAATTTATCCCGATATCTCAAAATTTTCGGAGGTTGGAACTTGCAGACAATCCCTACATACATATATACATATATACATATAAACGGACATTTAAAAAAAAAATGTGATTTTTCGACGTTTTGAAACATTCTGAACACATTGGCATAGAAAACTGAAACAAAATTTTGTCACGAAAACAAAGCTTCTTCTATGAGGAAGCAAAAGTTGATTCTTTTGCGATTTTACATATAAAACTAGGCATTTTCACAATTTTCTCTTTAGACTATCCGAAATGTCATATTTTCAATCATTGGATCTGGACGAAGGGACGGACTATTAAGCGGAGAGGAGTAAAATCTGGCGTTTTTATAAATATCCTCGTCATTTTTTCGAAAAGTGAAACGTGCGGGAGGCTCATTTCGCGTTTCTCTTAAATCAATGCGCGCCTTTACATAATAGTATATTCCATCACGCGCGCGTATCTCTTTTTTTTTCTTATCCAGCATGACATTTCTTTCTTTCGTAGTAATTCCGGCGCGTTATCGCATCTCTCGCGATGACGGCAGATGCGCACGAGCGTGATTGTGGATTCTTATCGATACATATGTAACATCTGTGTCAAGTGTCATGGTAACTCTTTTAGAAACCTCAAAAATAGAGTGCTTTTCTCAAATAGTTCCAAGTCTGTTTTAATCGATGTGACTTGTTTGTATTGAAATCGAGTAATATTGCGAAATAAGACGCGCGTCTTTTATCTTACAAGGTAGATTATAAATTATCAGATGTAAAATTTCGCAATTTCTTGTCGATAAAGTTTTGCGGAACTGACGTGCACGGATTTTTGAACCAGATTATCTCTCATTCATTCTATAATCCTTTCGCGATAAATGAATCATCGGATTTTTCGACCTTTGTAAAGTCCGGAAAGACTTAGACTTTAATCTATTTCTTAGAAAAAGAAAAAAATATATAACGTAAAAGCTAGGCGGAATTTTAAAAAGCTAATTCTCTTATGCTGTTTGATGTATGATGCGCTTGGAATAAACAAAACTGGCAATTATAAACATTAATTGGAGAAACTACATGAAAATGTGATAGTAAATTTTATCATTATAGTCGTAAATTAAGAAATCATTATCGTTAAGTATACAAGCGTAATAATTGAATTTTATAATTATAATCAGAACTCGGTTAATTAGAAACATTAAATCAACTTTCTACGATCTTGTGCGCACGCATATCTTTATATTTAGCAGATTTCCATCTCTCTCTTACGGATCGACAGACCGACGCTAAGCGGGATTTACACGTTGATCGATGTAACTTTCGCATTTCTCGCCGCATGTGACAGTCGGGCTACTTTCTTCGTAGCACCTCTTGGTAAAAGTGGCTCGACGCGACGAACTCACCGGAAATTCCACCGGCATTTCCTATCTGAAACGGCCCCGCGACGATGCACGGCTGTAAACGTTCCATGGTCGTTACTGTTCGTATACCGGGAAATCGATTCGTCGCCGCCGAATATACGACCTCGATGCGTACAAAGGAGTTCACCACCGCAAAAATTCCGCATGGGTTTTCCCATTATTATTAAGGCCGCACAATAAACCGTTAAGACAATAAATCATTTGTTACCTATTACTTTTTAGTCAGCACAATCCAAATATGTATACGCGATCTTCTTTCCTTGAAAGACAAAACTGTTGAGATTCTTAAAATTTTTCTGTTACAAGCGTGTTGTATGATTGCTAAAATTGTAAAAACAAAACATTATTAAAATAATAATTTTTATTTGTGAAAATTTGTAGCAAATAAAAAGTAGTGTAATATTTTTGAAAAATATAATACATTTCTAGAATTTAATTTATTAATTAAAAAACTCCGAGTAGATTTTGTCAAAATATATCGATAAAACTTCCCCTGATTTTCCAATTTTCAACACTAACTCCATCCTAATTAATATCTAAATTCGATAACGTCTATTTGCACTTGTAGAGATTTATTTGCAAAAAATTCTTTGTTCTCAATCGCTTTTAATTCCAAAAACCAGGGTTGGAAAGTAACGCGTTACTTGTAACGCCGTTACTGTTACAGTTACTTTTTTTCGGTAACTGTAACGGTAACGGCGTTACAAATTTTGTTTGTAACGGAAAAAGTAACTTCGTTACATTTTTCGGTAACGAGTAACGAATTTAACAGTTACTTTTATCGTTACTTTTTTTAAATTTACTTGGTATAATTTTTATACAAAGGAAAATATTGATAAGAGTGTTGGAATGCAGCATTACATGAAAACTACTGAAAACTCATTTTGGTATCTTGTTTCTTTGTAAGACAATGTTTAAAAATTTTTAGTGTCTAATTTAATCTTGTATTTAAAAAAATTGTATGTAAAGTTATTGTTATATATAAAAAAACTAACGGAAATTGTAACGACTCGTTATTTTTTGAGTAACGGTAACGGTAACGAGTTACTTTT